TATAATGTTTTTTATTATTTAAAAAAATCAAAAAATCATAAAATTTTGTTTGAGGGTTTGGAGCTCCCACAAGCCTTATCATTAAAAATACTCTTTTCCTTATATATATAGATAGATAGATAGGGTAAATTACACTTATCTCCTCTGAGGTTTAGCATAATTACAAAAACTTCTCTGATGATTTAATAAATTACTCTAACCTTCCTTTTGAAACTAATATAAAAAAACCCCTTCTGTTACTTATCTGTCTAAAATCAAATAGATTCTATTGATGTCATCCATAATTATTCTACAAATCCCAATACTACCCTTCAACTACTTAACATATTGAAATAAATTACACTTACCTCCCCTTACACACACACACACACACACACACACATATATATATAAACACATACATATCTATATATGCACATTTGAATATCTAGTATATGTATAAATCAAGTTATAATACACATCCTCAAAATAGTGTATCATATGTAAGTTATGATATTTGTGGTTGTAACGCCCTCAAAATAAATGCATAAATTAATCATTCATAATATCCATAGACATAGGAAAATAAAATATATCCATTCATTAGAGTATTCATTACAAAAAGTATTACATGTTGACAACAAAAGTAAATGCCCTACGGGCTTACAAACTTTCCAAGTCAACACTTGGTTATACAAAAGAGAGTTTTAACTCTTTACATATTAAGCCTTTGGCCTGGATTTACATATAACATCAACAAAATAACAAAAAGGGAGTCTTCAACTCCTAAACCTCCCAAGCTATCTTGGAGGCGACATATCCCCTGCACCTGAAAAATAGTGTCCCAAGTAGGGTGAGCCAAAACCTAGTAGAGATACGCTAAACATCATATAAGAATTAACTAAAACATTAGCATCCGATAAATATTTAACATAGATCATTATTCATCTCAACAAATCACAATGAGACTACAACTCGTATTATCAATACTTTAATCATCAACAATTTAGAATGAGACTACATTTCATATTATCAACACTTCAATCATCAACGTCATTCAAACGTATTTAAGATTTCGGGACTTTCACCCTAGACACTCTGGCTAACTTAGTTATCAATGGAGTCCATCCCCTATCTCTTCTCAAACCGTGGAGTACATCCCTCATCTCCTCCTAAACCATGGAGTACATCTCATTTCTCCTCCCAAACACAATACATATGTAATGTATTTAAACATTTTATCATATACAATGATCAATTAAAGCACATATTCAATGTGTTAATCCATCCGTCATATTCAATGACTTAATCCAATAGATTAGTTTCGGTTTACCTAATCGTCATACAGTTCTACAACAATCATAACTATCCTCCACCAATAGCCTAAACAGTTATTTTTAAACAGATAATTAAATTTATCAAACAGATAAATTAACACATTTTCCGTAGGTAAGAGATTTTCAATCCAACTATACCAATTAATTACATTTTCCCCCAATTTCATCATTTCCAACTCAATTATGTATTCCCATAATTAATTTCATTATTTTGACAAATAATTCATTTAATCCCAATTAGGGCATTTTCCCCTCTTTCTCAAACAACACTTCTAAGGCTCAATTTCATCAATTGTACAACCATAAACCCATTTCAAAATCTCACATTTACAATAGAATCCAAAACCAAGAAACCCCTCTTTTATAATCTCAAATCAAATCCTAACTTTTCAAAATCCTTACATTTATACAAATGCCCAACATTTATGTTAAAACTCATAAAAAGGAGTAGGTTATCCTTACCTCAAAGTTAGAAGCCCAAAGGAAAAGATGATGAAACTTGAAAGTGCTCCAAATCCAAGAATTTTCGAATCAAAACGTAGCCCAAACCAAACTCTAACTTTTATACAAAGGGACTAGGGTAGAGAACCACTAGAGCAAGGTATATTTGTAGAGAGAGAGTGTATGTAGAGAGTGTGTGTGCAGGATCTAGGGTTTGAGACGAAAAAGAGATGAAAAAGTGATGTATAAACTCGCTGCTGTGAACTGATATATACAGGGCTCGCTTGAGCGACCAGACACAAACGGACCTCGTTCGAGCGAAAAATGAGAAACTTCAGGTCTGCAACCCAGACGCACGCTCGAGCGCAAGAGTGCTCGCTCGAGCGAGAAAACACAAAACATAGAGCTCGCTCGCTCGCTCGAGCGCAAGAAAGCTCGCTTGATCGAAGAATACCAACCTTCAGGTCTGAAAGAGATGTAGACGTACGCTTGAGCGCAAGAGTGCTCGCTCGAGCGAAGAGACACACCAGACCAGGCTCGCTCAAGCACCAGAAAGCTCGCTCGAGCAGAAGCTGCGTCTGAAAAGAAACCTGAAAACCCTCAATCCTCGCTCAAGCGCAATAACTCTCGCTCAAGCGAAGAAGCAAATACCCAGGCCTCGCTCGAGCACAAAAAGCCTCGCTCGAGCGAAGAAGCCAAATTCTGGGCAGCAACCATTTGTTTTAACTCACAACCAACCTCACCCAACACATCCCAAAACTCAAATACAAAGAATCAAAGGATGGAAACGAGATACAGACAACAACATACAACCATGGAACTCGAGTCCGGAATAGAGTAAATAACAGGGAAAAACCGGGATCGCTATAGTGGTATTCATAATTAAATCTTTTTTAATCATAATTAAATACCACATAAAGTTTAATGAAAGACATTTTGGATCACAACCAAAATAATAATTACAATAAATGATAACTAATATCACAATAAGTTATAACTAACACCATAATAACTCATAATTAACACCACAATAAATCATAATCAAATATTACAAATATCATAGTTAGGACATATGATCCTCTCTCTCTCTCTCTATATATATATATGAGCATGTGTCAACTTTTAATCTAAGTGACTATATATATATATTTTTTATTTTTATTTTTCTTTTTTTATGTGGCTTTCTTTACTTATTTATTTTTTCTACACTATCTCTCTTTATAGAAACTCTTTCTCCTCAATAGTTCATTGGTTGGGTTATTGATAACTACCAATGCATAATCCAATCTTATTGTCAAATCAATTCTCCAAACCTCATCAACAATTCAACACACACACACACACACACAAACACACACACACACACACACATATACACACATACAAATAAATTCCCTCATTCTTAGAGTAAATTTTGGGACTTTTGAGTCTTTGAGTTGATTAATTACAATCCTAGCTATAGTTAGAAGAGAAAAGGGAGAGAAGATGCGTTGTGATCTATAGTTGTTGAATTATGTTTAAAAAATAAATAAAAAATTGTGGCTTCAAAAGAAATTAAAAAGAGCCAAGGGTAAATTAGTCATTTTATTATCAGTTTTAACACTATTTGAGCCAAAATTAACCTAAGAAGGGAATCTTGATATTAGTTTAAAAAATAAGAGAAGTTAGAGTAATTTCTCAAATCACAAGAGAGATCCCTGTAATTATGCTAAATCTCAAGAGAGGTAAGTATAATTTATCCCAAATAAAAAATTGAGGCTGTAAAAGAAATGAAGAAGAGCTAAGGGTAAATTAATCATTTTGTTATCAATTTGAACACAGTTTGAGTCAAAGTTAACCTAAGAGGAAAATTTGATATTAGTTTAAAAAATAAGAAAGGTTAGAGCAAATTTTGAAACTACAAAGAAAGTCCCTGTAATTATACTAAGCCTCAAGCAAGGTAAGTATAATTTACTCTTGAAAATATAAAATAAGTAAAATTAATTAAACTAACTAAAAACAAAACCAATTGACTTTACAAAGTCTATAGTAACCTTCTATGAGGTTTCTCATTTAGACGACAGAAATGCAAAAGCAAGTTTTCAACAAAGTGGGCCTAAGATCCCTTGCTTCTATAATTTTAATTGATTTAGAATGACTAAGATGACCTTCATGTGCACTTTGTTTAGTTGTCAAAAATTTTGTACGGAAAAGTCATTTTTCAGGAAAAATTTAGTAAAGTAAAAGGAAACTTATTTTGTCCATTTGTCAAGAAAAATAAAATGTACTGTTGAGTCTATTGTAAAATCTTGTATATGTTGCAAAATTTCAAAACATTCTTGTTAAGTAAACATAAAAAAATTAATTATATTTTACTTTTTTTTCCCTTGACCTAATGAAGCTATAGAAAGTCTTGTTACTTTGGAGTTATTGAATGTAATTTAAACATTTTGGTCCCTTACAGGATGAGGATTCTTTTCAATCCACACAATGAATATAGGTCTCACTCTAACAAGTATTTACATTTTGATTTAACTCATAATTTTCTTTAGTTTTCCTTCCGCTCCACAAATTCTTTATGAAATTCAATTTCTTGCTGCCAAACACAAGATTATTTATCTCAAGACAGTTTAATCCAAACTCATCCCTTATCCTAAGAACATGTGAGTGAATCTTCACTTTGACAGCAGACATTCTTAAATTTGAACAATAATGCTACAGTTTCTCCTTAAAAAAATTAATAATGCAATCATGAGCTTTATTTTTGTTTCAAATGTAGTGTTTACAACTAACTTGATAAATTAAATATGATACAAAAAATGATATGTTTATATATAATATTATTGAAATGGTCAGGTTTCTCTACAGAACAAATAAACTCTTATCATTGTTAAAAACAAAAAAAAAAAAAAAAAAAACTTATTAATTATGCCAAAGTAATAATTATAATAAACAAAGGGTACATTCGGAAATAAACAATGCTACACTTTTGATAAACCCGCGTACAACCGTGTCAGTCCTCCAAACCAAACTCCACAGCCCATAGCTTGCGACGCACTCACCTTGCACACACCGCGTATCATTTCCCCCTATACACTACGTCATCTAATATATATATGTCTCTCGCTTCTCTTCTTCCCTCACTATCTAAACCACCTCATACTTTAAAAAAATCTATAAAAAAACTCTCTCAAATCTCACGTTGCCTCGTTCATTCACATTGCTTTTAAAAATCACAGTCTGAGGTCGAAGTCGAAATTGAAGATGGATAGGAAGAAATCTAGCGCAGCTGCAAGAGCATGGAACATCCTCCGACTAGCCTTGCTATGGGCAAGAAAATGTGGAGTACTCAAAATCAGGAGACTCGTGATGGTACTCCGTCGCTTCCACAAATTCTTCAAAACTCTAGCCCACTACTCCACCGATTGCCGCCGCAGCGCCACCACCATTCATTACTGCGAACGCCAGCTTTCCTTCGACAACACCCCCATTACTCACGTCAAGATGCACCGCCCTTCCTCGATGCGATTCAAGATGCCTCGCATCCCATGCATAAATCATCCTCAAGTTGATTTCGCTTACAATTTCGAGTCCAATGGTGACAATGACTATGAAATGAATTGTGATTTTATTGATGATGATGATGATGATGATGATGATGATGATGATAGAGCAAGGAAAAGTTTCTTGAAAGGTGGAAATGAAGATGATTGCGAAGACATTGTTGCTTGTGATGATGAAGGGATTGATCTCAAGGCAGAGCAATTTATAGCTAAATTCTATAAGCAAATGAAAATGCAGAGACAGGTCTCATATTTACAGTACAATGAGATGATTGATAGAGGCACAAATTGATCACCACCAGAGTTCATATTTTTGACTTGCACACACACACACATATATAGATTGTATGAATGAGAAGCATTGCGGCATTTCTGTAAATACCGGAGGCTTCGGTTGAGTGTTCACATTTTTCTCAAATAAAGCATTTCAGTTTTTTCTGTTTTGATTCGAGAAATGGTTGTGTTGTGGATGGACTGGACAGAGTGGACACAAGGCCTACCAACCTTTTTATTATTAGTATTTTATTTGTAGTCATCACAAGCACAATGATTATTTACAATCATTGTAATTATAAGACTGGACATTTAACTATATAAAATAAATAAAAATCCAACTGTTGGATTTTGGTATGAATCGCGAGTGTCTTGCATAGTTTGAATATATATATTTATACATATAACAAATTCAGCAAGATTTCAAAACAACGTCCGAGCATCATTTCTTTCTTGATTGCTGCAAATGTTAGGTGGAAGGATGAAACAAATGTTGGAATTTTGATCTTTTGGAGCAATTTGAAAAGGCAACAGATTGTCACCGATCTACGAAGCGGATTCAATCATGTTTTTTGGACTTGTGGGACTCATCATGAGTTTTGACTCAATAATTCAAATTATTTATTTTTTAGATCACAATATGTAGATTATTCATGAAAAAATCAAGTTGATCCGATAACTATAGTTATGTTATTTTATGACATTTATTTACGAAAAAATAAACGACAAATATTATTTGAAAATTAGACCATTCATTTTTTGAAAGACAAATATAATAAACTAAGATAACTACGATTATCAAATCAATATGATTTTTTTCCATAGATGATGTACACGTTGTGGTCTAAAAAATAAAAGATTTAGATAATCGAGAAGGGACCATAGAGGGCCTTACAAATCCAAACAGCACGGTCCAATCCCGAAGACAAGTTCAAACGCGAAACACTCTTAACTATGTTATTTTTTTTAGGAGGATTCTGGATTGGAATGTGCTATTTGGGCACATGAGATCCACTACGAGTTCCATTTCAATGATTCGAACCGTTCATTTTGTTGGGCATTTCGTTTATTTCATTCACAAAAAAAACTAGGTCGATCTAATAACTGTAACTTGTTTAACTTATCGAGTTTTCACTAAAAAAAATGGACGACAATTGTGTTTTTAAAAAATGAACCATATATTTTTTTTATGACAAAAATAATAAATTGAATAAGTTGCAACTATCGGATTAATCTAATTTTTTTATGGATGAAATATACGAAATGCCCGAAAAAATAAACAATTCGGATAATCAAAACGGGACCTATGATAGACTCTCTGTGACACCCTGAACGTTTAATTAAAATCATATGAATATTTATAGCTATATTTAATCATGGTTGTATGTGATAATATATTATTAGTGATAATATATTAAAATAAATAATAATAATACTAATAATAAGCATACCATATGTGATAAGGTTAACAGTAAGTGAAAAGGTTAATTAACTAGCATTTAATTAAGGAGATTTGTAAATCCTCTAGGAGAAGGATGTTACGCCACCTGTATTGTCTAGGCCTTAGGAGAGGTGAGTCACCATTTGTTAGGCACTAGGTGATATGTATATATAAGAGAGAGTGGGGCTACAAATTGCATAAAGGAATGAGGAGAAAAGAAAAAAAAAGAAAAAGAAAAAAAGAAAGAGACAGAAAGGAGGAAGAAAGTGATCTCGAGAAGCTAGCATAAATAGGAGGGAAATAGTAAGGGTCAATATTAAGGTGAGTTATATTATACCTTGAGTCACCATAATATATTTTACGTATGTTTTGACTTACCATAATTTATTTTATATAAGTTATATTTTATGAGTTATATTAATACAAGTTATACTTTATAAGTTATATTAATATTTCAATTACATTGATTAATTTCTGAACTCTATTTGTTTAAAATGAAACCCATTGATATGTTTGTTTAAATTTTAAAGAATATTTGACTATGACTTTATAAACAATTATGTTTTGTAAGTACCACCATGGGAGTCCCATGTCTTGGGAGACTTAAATAACCGTTGGCTTCTGTTTGGTCACTTTGTGGTCCTCTGTTTGTCATGGATCCATTGATCTCTGTTCTGATTGTCATTCATGTGACTTCCGTTCTGTTCTGTTTGGTACCGTAGTTATGGTTATTTATTCATATAATTTTTCTATTTCAGTTTCTGCCACTTAAATAATATATTTACCAAATTAAGTTATGTAAATGTTTTGGCTTAACTAACTATCCATAGTTATTTTGTATTCCCTATACTCTTGGCATAATATTTCTCACTCTGCTGTGTGCTTATAGCTGTTACCCTTTTAGGTGATGAGATGTAAGGAAGACCCACAATCTCGTGTAGTGGAACCTGTGCAAGAAATTGATGCAGATCCATTAATTTGTTTTTCTTTTCTTTTCTATTCTTCCTGTCATTTTTTTCTGATGGCCGGTCGCAACATAATAAAACAATAAAAGCCTATGGATGTGCTCTATTTTTTTTAGTAGAATGAAGTAACTTTCAGTTTATTTATTTTTATTTCCGTTTGCTTCTGCTTGTGCAGTTTAATTTGCTACGATTATATTAAGTTAGTAAGTTGCGATTCTAATCTTAAGCCCCTAGGGTTGGATCGTGACAAAGGTGGTATTAGAGCAATGGTTCATTTTAAAAAAAAAAGAAGCTATTTTAATTTGATTAGAAAGTTTGAAAGGTTATAAATAAATCTATAAATAAAACTATATAGCTAGACAAACATAATAAAATAGAATAGAATAAAAAATAAATAAATATTTACCTGCAATGTTAGCCCTTTTGTGTAAAATCTCACGTTTTTTCTGGTGATGTAGGAATGTCCGAGATTAACCTTAACGAGGCTTTTTGGGAGGAGCTCGGGGCTATTAATTTGGATGAGATTTTAGCAGAGCACCCCGTCCCCGCCTCACCTGAAGGATGGAGAGATTTAGAGGATATAATTAGAGGATTGCATCCAGGCCTTGCCCAATTGATGGGTCGGCCAATCTATATATACAGGCTGATCCTACTGATGTCCAATATTTACTATGGAGGTAGAGCCATGCCTATACACACGGATGCTTTCTTGGACCCACTCGTGTCCTCAGCGTTACCCCAGGATATGACCGCCCGCACTACATCGTAGGCCCTCTATCCCCAGATTTTGTGGTAAGAAAGGGGAATGTGTACCCCGAGGAATACATTTTTACCACGGTCCCTAACCCGTTGGAGATTATTAATATTCAAAATGTTGACTTTAATAATGGCTTGTCACATATCGAGACACCCGGTTGGATTGTCGATCGAGCATTTTTGGGATATATACAGTCCGTCCCCATTTTCACAGTCCAGGCAGCATAGATGTGTTTTGGTGTGGTCCAGTTAGGATGGGAATTTGAGCCTTTTATGCACCACTATTTCCCATGGTTGTTTGGCTTGTTTGACCCACCACTCTAGAATTGGTAGAAGAAAACTTTTTTATGCTAACCATGATGTGTTCTAGTCCCTTTTTGTTGTTTTTTTGTTTTTGTTTTTGTTTTTGTTTTGTTATACCACAAGGATGAGACACTAACATATCCTGACTTTTGAAACAAAGATGTAATATTAATTGAAAAAAACGTAAAGTTGGTATTTTATATAGATATAGATTGCGCTATATATGCTTATATATATATATGCTGCATTATGAATGTAAGGCCTCATTTATTACTTTATAGAATGACCAATAATGGTAATGGAAGCGAGTCATCAGTCAGTGGCACTGAATCAATGGAAAGAATCATGAAAAGAATGGTTACTAGCTTTTTGCAAGCCTTGCAGACTAACATCAACAATGGGATGCCGGAACGACGAGAAGAGCCGGTTACCATAAAACAGTTTCAGGATCTGAAACCCATCACATTTACCGGCGGCCCAGACCCAATGGTAGCAGACGCTTGGGTTAAAGACATGGAAAAGATTTTTCGCGCCCTACCCTGCACCGAAAGACAGAAGGTAACTTTCGCCACTTTCACTTTCAAAGACAATGCACAACAATGGTGGCTTCTCACTTTGGAGAAAGAAGAAATTGCGACTTGGGCAAGATTCTTGGAAGTATTTTACAAAAAATACTTCCCAGATTCATTTCGGGAACAGAAGGCATCAAAATTCATACATCTAAAGTAAGGGACCAGAGAGCAAGTTCACACAACTCGCTCGGTTTGCGACATACGTTATCCCCACCAAAACTCAAAAAGTAAGAAAATTCGAAGCAGGATTGGATGCTAAAATTAAAGATAGGCTCGAGGTCTTGAAACTGCCAACCTATGCAGAAGTGGTAGACCGCGCGTACATTGCCGAAAAAGGGATTAAAGCTTTTTCGATGAACCAAGCCAAAAGAAGCGATTCTGGGAAAGAGACAACTGAAGACCCAGTGTTGCGCCTCCTAAAAAGGTGAATACGGACACAACCAGTTCAGGCCATCAAAGTCCTACCAACCCCCGAGGTGGCACTATTCCAATTTGTCCTACTTGTGGGAAGGCTCATTGGGGACAATGCCATCGAGACACTAGAGCATGCTTTAAATGCGGTCAAGTTGGCCACTTACTTAGGGATTCTCCATAGCTGACTAATCCTATAGCTAGCCCTTTTGGCCTAGTCAGAAAACCCGCAAGACCTGGAGGAGAGAGGAAGAATAAAAAACGCCAAGGAAGGGCTTTTGCCTTGGTACTTGGAAAGCTAGAAGTTACCGAAAACGTTGTGTCAGGTACACTTTCTATCTGTGGTCATTTAGCTCATGTCCTCATTGACTCTGGGTCAACTCATTCTTTTGTTGTGCCACACTTTGCTACCAAGTTAGCATCAACACCCGAACCCTTAGGATATATATTGTTTGTGTCTTTTCCTTCTGGTAATTCTGCCCGTAGTGCTGATATATACAAATCTTGTGCTATATTCCTAAAAGGCAAAACTTTATACGTAGACTTGATTCCCCTCCGCATTGGAAACTTT